AAAAAGATAAATATAAGGCGCTTGAATATTATGAAAAATCCGCCAAGATGGGAAATGATAATGCAATGTATAACCTTGGTCATTTTTATCAGAGTGGGATTGGAATTGAAAAAGATGAACATAAAGCATTTACTTATTATCAAAAATCTGCTGAATTGGGAAATACTTATGGAATGTATAAAGTTGGACATTGTTATTATAATGGAATTGGAATTGAAAAGAATGGGCATAAGGCGTTCGAATATTATCAAAAATCTGCCGAGATGGGAAATGCTAGCGGAATATTTGGTCTTGGCAGTTGTTATGATAATGGAATTGGCACTGAAAAGGATGTTCATAAAGCATTTATTAATTATCAAAAGTCTGCTGATATGGGACATATTTTTGCGATGATTAATCTTGGTTATTGTTATCAAAATGGAATCGGAATTGAGAAAGACGAACACAAAGCATTTATTTGTTATCAAAAATCTGCCGATTTAGGGGATATGAATGGAATATATAATACTGGATATTGTTACAAAAATGGATTCGGAGTTGAAAAAGATGAATGTAAAGCATTCATTTATTTTCAAAAATCTGCTGAGATGGGTCATTCTGAAAGCAGGTGTCAAATTGCAGATTGTTATCAAAATGGAATTGGGGTTGAAAAGGATGAACATATGGCATTTGTTCATTATCAAATGGCTGCTGAAATGGGTAATTCTGAAGGAATTTGTCAAGTGGGTAATTGTTATCATATTGGAATCGGTGTTGAGAAAGATGAGCATAATGCATTTATTCATTATCAAAAATCAGCTGATATGGGAAACTCTCATGGAATATTATGTCTTGGATCATGTTATGATTATGGAATTGGTATAGAAAAGGATGAACACAAAGCATTTATTCTCTATCAAAAATCTGCAGAGATGGGAGACCCTGATGGAATACACAATGTTGGTGTTTGTTATAAATTAGGAAATGGTGTTGAAAGGGATGAACATATGGCATTTGTCAATTATAAAAAATCTGCCGAAATGGGGAGTATTGCCGGAATGACTAGCGTTGCTAATTGTTATCGAAATGGAATTGGAATAACAAGAGATTTACATGAAGCTAATTATTGGTATCAAATGTAAGTAAATTTATGCTAACACTTGTTAAAACATCCTTTACTTAATTGATTGATTTTTTTGTTTCATTAAATAATAATTAGGGCAGAAAAACTAAAATTTGGAGCATCAGGTAATTCTATTTGCAATTGATTTATAAAGTTCATAAACAATAGTTCTAATCTTTATTTTTATTTTTATTTTTAATAGCAACAAACGAATGGGCACATAAAAACTCTGACGTTGATGATGATTTAAGACAAATGTTGATCGAAAATAAATACCAATTTTCATGGATTCCTTATGATGAATTTAAAGAGATTAAGGAAGTAGGAAGAGGTGGATTTTCGACCGTATTTTATGCTCAATGGAGAGATGATAATGTTTTAAGAAATGTCGCACTCAAATTGCTTCATGGATCAAATAAATGTCACGAAGAATTTTTGAAAGAGGTGATTTAAATATTTAATATATTTTTATTTTTATTTTTTCGGGGTTTTTTTTAACGTTAATTTTTTGTATATATTTTTTTTTTAAATGATTAGTTTAAAGCCTATTGTGATATTGGCCACAAAAATATGACTTTTCTAAAATGTTTTGGCATATCAAAACATAATATTTCCAAGGAATATATCCTTGTAATGCAATACGAGTCATTGGGTTCTTTGCGCAAAAATTTTTATTTTATATCGCAAATGGAATGGAAAAAAAAATTAACTTTATTGAGTTGTATTGCTTCTGACCTTCAGATAATTCATTCCGAAAATTTCATACATAAAGATTTACATAGTGGAAATATACTTTTAAGTACCCTTAGTAGTGCATATATTACAGACTTAGGGCTTACATCATTAGTTAACAAAGAATCAAATGATGAAATAATTGGTATAATACCATATATGGCACCTGAAATATTATACAATGGGAAATATAGTATGGCATCTGACGTTTATTCTTTTGGCATCATTGCATACGAAATAGCAACAGGACTTCCGGCATATTATAATACTCCACATGACTTCAAGTTGATGTCCGAAGTATTTCGCGGCTTACGTCCAAGCATCCCAAAATATATACCAAAATTAATTATTGAACTGATTAATAACTGTTGGCACGCTCGACCAGAAAAAAGATTGACCTCTAAAGAAATATATGACAATATAAATATATTTATTGATGATATTTCAAACAATAAGTCGACTGAATTCGTTATGCAAATAAAAGAGGCTGATGAAATATTACAAAAATTTTTAGAATCCGGCTCATCAAATGACATTGAGATGCATCCCAATGCAATTTACAGTAGCAGGCGACATATTCCTCTATCGAATAAAAATGTCACAGATCAGGATTGCCATATAGGTAATAATATTTGTTTGTTTGTTTTTTATTATCGCTGTTCTCGAAATGGTTGAAAATGGCAAATAAAAAATTTTTTTGCCGTACACTCGTACCTTAGCACGTTGATTAAAGATGATGTCCGATTTTATGTAATTGTTCTGAACAATTACATAAAATTGGATATCAATCTTCAATCAACGAAGGTACGAGTGCACGGCAAAAAAAATTTTATTTGCCATTTTCAATAATTTCGAAAATAGCGATAAAGCAATAAACTTTTTTAACAACATTTTTAATTAAAGATAGTCAATTTGACCACAAGAATGATGTAAACTTACTAATTTCGCAAGTCGGCGCTATTAAAGTTGAAAATGACGAACACTTCCACAAACATGATAAAATGAATTATGACATAAATTATGAGCAGGATAGTGAGGGCCTACTAATTCCGAAAGCAAACGTAATTGAAGTTGAAAACAATGAAATCTATCAAAAGCTTGCTGACGAAACAAACTTTGTTGATAATAATAAGGGGTTCGAATATTATCAAGAATTAGCAGAGTTGGAAAATGCTAGTGCAATATATACTCTTGGATATTGTTATCAATATGGAATCTTAGTCGAAAAGGATGAATATAAGGCATTTACCTATTATCAAAAATCAGCTGGCATGGGTAATGCTGACGGAATGTATTTTGTTGGTATTGGCTATCTTAAAGGGATTGGTATTGATAAAGATGTATATAAAGCGTTCGATTATTTTCAAGAATCAGCTAAAATAGGACATGCTCTTGGAACTTATGAACTTGGTTATTGTTATGAAAATGGAATTGGAACTGAAAAAGACGAAAATAAAGCATTCATATATTATCAAAAATCTGCCGACATGGGCATCCCTAAAGGAATGTCAAAAGTCGGTAATTGTTTTCAAAACGGAATTGGTGTTAAAAAAGATGATCATAAAGCTTATATATGTTACAAAAATTCTGCCGATATGGGGAATGCTGAAGGAACGCTTGGACTTGGTATTTGTTACTCTCAAGGAATTGGAGTTAAAAAAGATGAACGTAAAGCATTCACTTATTTCCAAAAATCTGCTGAGATGGGACATGCAGACGGAATGTCTAATGTTGGCGTCTATTATCAAAATGGAATTGGAGTTACAAAAGATGAACATATGGCATTTGTTTATTTTCAAAAATCTGCCGAGATGGGAAGCGCTAGTGGAATGTTTAAAGTTGGCTATTGTTATAGGAATGGGCTTGGGGTTGAAAAGAATGATTATGAGGCATTTATTCATTATCAAAAATCTGCAGAGATGGGGAATGTAGGAGGAATGTATATGGTTGGTTATTGTTATCAAAAAGGAATAGGAATTGAAAAAAATGAACATAAAGCATTTGTGAATTACCAAAAATCTGCTGAAATGGGAGATTCTAGTGGAATGAACCAATTGGGATATTTTTATTTTCATGGAATTGGAGTCGAAAAGAATGAACGCAAAGCATTCATTTATTACCAAAAAGCGGTTGAAATGGGATATATTGCTGGGATATATCCTCTCGGTGTTCTTTATGAAGAAGGAATTGGAGTTGAGATGGACAAAAATAAAGCATTTACTTATTATCAAAAATCTGCCGAGATGGGAGATAGCAACGGAATGTTTAAGTTTGCAAATTGTTATCAAAATGGAATTGGAACCGAAAAGGACGAAAATAAAGCATTTGCTTATTATAAAAAAACTGCAGAGATGGGGAATGTTAACGGAACATATAAAGTTGGATATTGCTATAATAATGGGATTGGAGTTGAAAAAAATGAATACAACGCATTTGTTTATTATCAGAAATCTGCCGACATGGGGCATATTCTTGGGACATTTGAACTTGGCTATTGTTATCAATATGGAATTGGAATTGCCAAAGATGAATATAAAGCATTTACCTATTATCAGAAATCTGCCGAGATGGGTCACGCTAATGGAATATATGCAATAGGCATTTGTTATAGAAATGGAATAGGTGTTGAAAAAAATGATTATAAAGCATTTATTTATTATCAAAAATCTTCTGAGATGGGGCATATCAGTGGAACATATAATCTTGGTTGTTTTTATCATTACGGAATTGGAATTGAAAAGGATGAAAGTAAGGCATTTATTTATTATCAAAAATCTGCTGAAATGGGAGATGCTGAGGGAATATTTCAAGTAGGATATTGTTATCAAAATGGAATTGGTATTAAAAAAGATGAATATAAAGCATTTGTTCATTATCAAAAATTAGCTGATATGGGGCATGATAAAGGTACATATGCTCTTGGTTGTTGTTATCAAGATGGAATTGGTGTTGAAAATAATGTGCACAAAGCGTTCATTTATTATTTAAAATCCGCTGAGATGGGAGATCCTGATGGAATGCATCAAGTTAGTCATTGTTATCGGAATGGAATTGGGACAATTATAGACTTGCAGAAAGCCGAATACTGGCATCAAATGTAAATAATCGTTTTTACTTTCGTTTTTTTTTATTTTTTACTAGTTATCATTTATTTAATTTATAAAATTTTTGATAATTAATAGGGAAAAAAGCAGTTTGACTAATTTTTAAAACGGTCTAATTTTAATGAAGTTTTTTTTTTTTAATCACGCAAGAATTGTTGTATAAATAGCTAAACTAACACTTGACACTGCCACAATCACGAATATTTGCTTACATATTTGTTATTGG